AAGTAAAGGAAGAAGAGGAGGAAGAAGAAAAGGAGAGGAGAATAATGACCTGTTCTGAAGAGGAGAGGAAAATAAGGGGGAAGAGGAAGAGGAAAAAGAAAAGACAGGAGAATAATGAAGAGTAGGAGAGGTGAATGATGATGATGATGATGATGAGGAGGAGGAGGAGGAGGAGGAGGAGGAGGAGGAGGAGGAGGAGGAGGAAGAAGAAGACGAGGAGGAGATTACAGATTTACAGATTGCCCCGGAGGGGGCTAGTTTATTGGGCACCCCCTTATATCCTGTGCAAGGTGAAGCGCAGAAGCGTTTACAGCGCCCAACTGGGAAGCATGCGGAGTTCATGCTTGCCTTTATGACTCATGCATTAAGGGCGTAAAAGGCCTGAAGGGTCATGGGTTTTGTCAGCAAGTTACATAAAGTGACAATGATGAGTGTGGGGAATTCCGTACAATTTATCTGTTTATGGCAAAATGTGGCAGGTCACTAATAATGTCAAGTGCCAGGCCTGTCACTAGGAGGAGGGATATCTGGTCAGGAGGAAGAGGTGCCACCCCTGTAGGGGGAGGTCACAGGGCAGATGAGGATGTGGTGAACGAGGAGGAGGAGTTGACAGCAGTAGGTTAGTTTAAGCGACATTGGGCTGCGTAATCAAGGGTGAGATCCGTCAACCATCCATGGGTCAGGTGTACCGTCATCAACTAGGCAACACAAGAGACGAGCCATCGGAGGTGACAACTGAAGGCAGGTGATCCTCCACAACAGGTCCGACAGATACTTAGGGTAAAAGTGTATACAAGAACACGTCTTCATGGAGCTCGGGAGTGTTCCATCTGTCTCTTAGCAAGACAGCTCAGCTTTATCCAGTAGTACCTATGGCACATTTCCCCAGTCATAAACAGCCACCCCCCTTGGTCCTAGCAGTATCTTAACTCTACCTCAGTCTGCCCACGAGCAGCTAAGACTCTTAAACTACCAGCCAACACACAGGATTTTCCGGCCCGTCAGAGCACCGAGCGTAATATGACCCAGAGCCTGTAGGGGCACCCAGAACTATGGTCTTAATTAATGTTTCCAGTTCTACCGCAGTCTGGCAAGAGGCGCCCGGCACCTAGGAGCATCCAACACTCCGGTAACGAGGAATACCAAAGACTTCCCAGCCCCTACAAGTATTCAGCTCCTAGCACCCAGGATCCGCACCCTAAGACCCAGAGACCGTGGAATCGGGTCGGGTCAGGCGGGCTGGCTGGCGGTTGTAGAGGCACAAGACTACAGTGGTCGGGGGCGTTGAGAGCCCTTGTCTCCGGCCTGGCCACTCACGCCCGCACTTCCGCCCACCACCACACGCCTGTAATGAGCACCACCCCCACACCAACTCCAAGGTCACACCCCACACATCCCTACCCCCCTCCACTATCCTGGGGCCAGATAAAATATGAAGACGTACTGAGGCGTGTCCCCCTGACTCTTGATGGCCCTCTGCTCCTCCTACTTGTTCCTTGATGACTTGATAAACACGTCTTTGTTGTCCCCTGCTGCTGTGTTCGCTACTGACGAGCGATGTTTCGGAATGCTCTCATCGCCTCCCCCTCCTACCCAACCCCCCCCCCAATTGCTGCTGTGTTCGGCGGTACAGCTCAGCCACCGCCGTTGCCGACTCGACCACTACCGGCGACCGACACTCACCAGCGACCTGGACAAGACAGATCACATGGGCGGCGGCGGCAAGACTACCAGAAACGATGAAGGTATTTCCACCACTCGTTACTACCCCGCCCCACAACTACCACACAACAGTCGTGTAGTGTGAGGGCGACACAACAGTCATGTAGGAGGGCGACACACAACAGTCATTTAGTGTGAGGGGCGACACACAACAGTCGTGTAGTGTGAGGGGCGACACACAACAGTCATGTAGTGAGGGCGACACAAACCGTCTAGGGTAATCCAATACACATTAAACAACAACAAAGTCACTTCAACACAATACCCGGTCCTCCTCCGCCCTACCACACTGAACATCAGGACTATTATTTTGTTCAACTTTATTTAACGTGAGTTTAATTTATACACTTGACAGTCACGTTATCATGAATCTTTACCACACAGCGTTAGGGCGAACTGAACCTCACGAGGGAATGTTTCACCCGTGTATGAAGTGCTGAGCAGAGACAGAGCCTGCCCAAATAATACCTGGTGTTGGGAACCTATCCATTAATACCTAGGTGCTGGGAACCTATCCATTAATACCTAGGTGCTGGGAATCTATCCATTAATACCTAGGCGCTGGGAATCTATCCATTAATACATAGGTGCTGAGAACTAATAATGGCTGCCGCTAGATGGTGCTAGGCTTCCCTCCATTAAGAGTGTTTACTGGTAGAAGGGAAGTGCAGGGGTCCACGACAGGAGGGAGAGGTGGGTGGGTGGGTAATGGGGGTGGTGGAGGAAGGGAAGGTGGTGGGGGGTGGAGGTGGGCGGACACATACACAGATATACACAACACAAACACACACACGCACTTACACACACACAAGCGAGGGCTCAGTGCGGAGCAGACACTAGCTAGCCTCCCGAGGACCAAGACTACACCACCACCACTCATTACCTTATCAACGCCCACCCTCACCACCCACTATCCACCACCCCTCATCACCCATTATCCACCCTCATCACCCACCACCCACCCTCATCACCCACCACCCACCCCTCATCACCCATTGTCCACCCAGAGCATCCATCCTCATCATCCAACTTCAGAACCACCACCCTTCATCACCACCACCTCCACCCTGCCACCCTCACACCCACTGCCACCCTCAAGACGTCACGCCCACCCCACTGGGGGGACACACACACACACATTCACGAGGTGTTCCAGGAGAGGCGGTAATGGTTGGTTAGGATTAGGTTGTTAGGTTAAGTTAGGTTAAGTTAAGCTTGGTTAGGTTACTTTAAGCTAGGTTAGGTGTCACAGCAACCCGAAAAAAGTTCATCTTGAAGTTTGGAAACCGGACCAAATAAATCAACCAGGCTTAAGTTCGACTCACCGCTTCGAACACCCATATTAAGGCAACAAGTGAAGACAGACTAAAAAGATTATCCATAACTTGCTTCGCAACACATGAACCAGAGAACACTACTGTTCCAATACACACAAGAGCTTCGAATTTCTGAAACAAAATGATTCGAACATCTAAACCGAATGACTGAGCTGCTGAACTAAAACAAACGCTTAAACACCCAAACAAACGACAAACAAATCTTATCACACTAAAACAGAGTGAATCCTAACCCTCTGAATCGTGACAATTTTAACCAATCATAATGCAAGAATTTACATCGACTGGGAGAATGAGCCAATCACAACCTTCCATTACTACACAACCTAAGCGGTGTAACACGAGACTTCTGAGCGAGTTAAAATATTTAACTTTTTCACCAACATGTAACTTATGGTGAAACTTTAAACCACTTCAGCGAGATCAACTTGAAGCATACATAATAAGTTTATAATATTAAAAACACCTGACGAGAGAGAGAGAGAGAGTGTGTGTGTATGTGGTATACTCACAATACTCATTAGCTTGAAACTAATTCTCCTTCAAGGTCCTACTTGAAAAATTTAAGAATTACTTTAACACGTTTCCAAAAAGTCAAATGAAAATATTCTTAAGAGAGCAATAGAGAATCACCTGTTATTTCCGTCTTAAATTGGTCCAGTCACCCCTCACCACATTTTCTGTTGTGACAGCACCGACTAATTTAATTTAATTTATATACCGGCCGACATAGAGCAGACGACCAGCCATCTTGTAGTGAGAGACTGAGACGTCACACGAAGACAATGTTGACATCACAGCCTCACACGAACGACTGAACATGACGGCAACCGGTTAGTGCTGTGTTGATGCGTCAGTATAGTACATAGGCCTTTGTTAAGTGGTTGATTTTGATTTGCCGTCCACAGGCATAACCGGTGTGCAATAAACTAGTCACTACCAGGTAAATACAGTAAGGTAGAGTATATCAGGTGAGTTATTAAGGATACCTACCTTACCCCCTCACCTACCTTACCTCCCCTCACCTACCTTTCCCTCACCTACCTTACCTCCCTTCCTCACCTCTCCCAATATTTCTCACCTCCCCATCATCTTCTCCTCACAATCCTCACCTCCCCATCCCCCCTCACCTCCCTCTCCTCCTCATCCCTCCTCACCTCCCTATCATCTTCCTCACAACTCTCACCTCCCCTCCTCCTCACCCCCTCATCAGTTGTGGTATCGACGAGGCTCAGTAACACTCGCTTCCCAAATACCAAACATAAATACCACTTTGTCCTTCACTCCACTACACCAGCGACTGACAGACACAAACATCAACGAGCTGTACCCCCCCCACCACCTAACACCAGAAAATAAATAATGGCTCTGATGTGTATGAGGTAAATTATCGTTTTCACCCAAGACTTATCACTCCTGTACCCAACGCTACCCGCCTATCTGTTAACGCTATCAACTAGTAATTAAATATGTTATTCTTGTTCTCAGTACAGGACGATCCAACACACAACGCAGCAACTCTGGTCCTAATGCTGTACGTCGACGCGGACTCTAGAAAGATGGACTCGGAGCGACGTTTTGTAAGTGTCAGCCATGATGATTTTTTTTCCGCTAGGTGTCTCAAGTGTAAACAAACCCGCGGCATGTGTGACGTCATCCACCAGTGTGTGTGTGTGTGTGTGTGTGTGTGTGTGTGTGTGTGATATATGTGTGTGGTGTGTGTGTGTGTGTGTGTGTGTGTATATATGTGTGTGTGTGTGTATGTGTGTGTGTGTGTGTGTGTGTGTGTGTGTGTGAACAGTTTCATGAATGTTCACATACTAGTGTATACATGTATTAGTGCATTCACATTACGTTTACACATAAGCACCGACTAACGTATACAGACACCAGTGTATACATGTATTAACGTATACACAGATAACACACAGACTGACTCACCTGGAAGCGACGCATGTCTCTGGGGTTACCGGCGTTCTTGAGACAGTTCTGGTTACACTTGAGGAAGAACTTCAAGAAGAACCTGAAAGAAGAACATAACTGTCAGAATAACAAGAACACGATTATCAACTGAACATTGCAATTAAAGAGAGAGAGAGAGAGAGAGAGAGAGAGAGAGAGAGAGAGAGAGAGAGAACGCGGCTCAGGGCTCTCACTCACACAGGTGTACAGAGTCATTACTGAGAACAAGTGTGTGTGTGTGTGTGTGTGTGGACAGGAAGAGGTATACAGGAAACCACACTTCTCCTTCACCTCCTGGGTATAATACACCCACAAGAGACCACAAACACCTGTTGGACACACCCATACCTCAACACCCACACACCCCAGGCCTCTACACCCACACACCCCAGGCCTCTACACCCACACACCCAAGGCCTCTACACATATCTACACCCCAGGGAGTGTTGGTTTTCTAATCTATTGTTTCCTCTCTGACCATTATTCTTAACTCCTTCTCTCTCCTCCCTTCTCCTCTCTATCTTCCTGGTTTCCTCTTCCCCTCCCCCACCCTACTAACCACAACCCAAACACACACACACACACACACACACACACACACACACACACACACACACACACACACACACACACACACACACACACACACACACACACACACACACACACACACACACACACACACACACACACACACACACACACAGACACGTAGTTCAGCTAGAGAAAACAGTCGACTTAATTATGAAACTTATGAAATTATTACAGGAATTTTTGAATAACTAGGTAAATAGACATACATACATACATACATACATACATACATACATACATACATACATACATACATACACACAAGCTCACATTACAGTAGTTCAACATGTATATATACAATACAAAAAATATAATAATTGTAATTTGCTACAGGAAAAACTACAGTGTGTGTGAAGGGGGAGTGAGAGGAGAGGAGGGGATGGAGAGAGGGGGAAAAGAAAAGGGAGAGGTGTTGATGGAAGGGAGGAGGGAAGAGGGGAGAAAGGGAGGGGGGGGAGGGTTAGGAGGAGTATTGAGGGAGAGGAGGAGATGAGAGGATGAAAGAAGGTGAGGTAGGGAGAGAGGGAATGGTCACGGAGGAAGGAGGAGAGGAGAAGAGGGAAAGAGAGATGAAAAGGGAGGGTTTTAGGAGGGGGGCGAGACGTTAAGTTGTCACCCCACACCACCATCTCCTGCCTCAATTTGTACACCAAAACACAGGATCCCGTTTCCTCTATTTCCGGTTTCCTAATGACCTGCGACACCGTTTTCTGTGGTTCCTGGTAACTAGTGGCTTAAGAAGACGTCTCATTTATAGGCCTATAAGTCTCTATCAATATGTCTGAATATCCACACACACACAATACAGTACCTACTTTATTATTATTATTATTATTATTAGTAGTAGTAGTAATAGTAGTAGTAGTAGTATTAGTATCATCACCATCTAATGTTCATACTATTGTTATTACCAAAATTTCCGGTTATTTAGCACTGGTGGTAAATTAGTGCCCTATATATTTCAAGACGTCAGGAGTCGATACAAATGTCAGCGTTTTAGCGTCAGTTTCCTGGTATTTATAAAGACGTCAGGAGGCGCAACGGGGGAAAAAAACGAGGGAGGTGTCACGAGCCGCCAGCCACCATGTTGACACTCAGCGGCAGCCTCTGAGTGACAAATGAACAGCGGGGAGCGTGTCGAGGTATTTTCTTACACATTTCTTTATTATTTCACTTCTTAGAATAATATCAAAATACGTAGAATTAAAGGTCAGAGTTTTAGTTATATTTGATGTAAAATAGTTAAAAATAATATGATTTATTTTTTCCCCTTCGGCTATTGGTTAAATCGACTTAAGGTTTGTTTACCATTGTTTACGTTGTTTATATGTGTTTACGTACAAGATAAACCGAAGTAAATTTGTGTGTTGATTTAATTAATATCTATCTATCTGTCTATTTACGGTCACTAGGCTGACTCACTAGGGGGAAACATTCTCTCTCTCTCTCTCTCTCTCTCTCTCTCTCTCTCTCTCTCTCTCTCTCTCTCTCTCTCTCAATTTCCAACCATCTTTTTAATTTCTTCAATAAATATCACACTTATCTACAGTACACAGACATTAAAGAATAAAAAAAAGACTATACAATAAACTTGGGTAAAATCAATTCAAAGCCCTGACTTCTGATTGACAAATGAAGATCGGGAAGCGTGGCGGATCTTCCTCCCCGTTACCACCAACTCATTCCTTAATAATTACCTATTTTAACACCCAATTATCATTTATTTTACCCATTTTAACACCCAATTATCATTTATAAATACAAACTTTAACATAGCATACAATAATTATCATTATTTTAATTTGTGTAGGCAGCAATAGTACACAGCACTGCCCGCCCAGCACCACACACATTACCCCGCCATCTACACTGGTTCAATGATCTTGTTATAAAATCCTTAATTATCTCACACATCACCAACGTGTTATGGCCAAAAATTATCTAACACATAATATAGACATTTATTTACCAACACAAACTGAAATTGAGATGCTATGGTGATTAATTTTAAAATACAAAGTAATTTAGGTAACTTAACTGTGGCACCGCTGTATCTGACACGGCCAACTGACTAAACTTCTAAAAACTTCTAAAGAGAAACTGAACTAACTATATCTTGATCTGGTCCAGGAACTTAGGAGATAAATTATAAAAAAAAACACTCAAATGTTATGTATTACTGGATACATAGACAGACAGACAGAGAGACAGAGAGACAAACTACGACAACATAATATCCTGCCAGTATAATGAGAGAGGGGGGGAATAAGAACCCGTAAAATTAAGAGACGTTTAATTTTCTCGCTGTGATGGAATTTTAAAGTGACAACTGTGGCTGACAAGTGACGAGTGGTAACCGTGGTCGACCTTTTCTCGATTATTCCTGAATTTATCCTCACTAATCCATATAATTCTAACTTTATTTATATTGAATATATTATAAAATTAAATATAAACACCCGAAACACTACGATATTCTGATGAAAAAGAGAGTTAAGTAAAAATCTTGACAAAACGTATCATTATAGGCTTTCCAACATGACCCGCCAATACTTACATATCAGCAACTACAAAAACTACACAATAAAAAAAACTACAAAAACTACAAAAAAAAATAACGAATATAACATAAAATTTTAAACTTTCCGGGAAATATTGGATGAAAGAAGGAAAGAGTAAGGCGTTGAGGCGGGAAATGTGTCTGGAAGTGAGCGGTGTGGCTGGCAGGCGTGGAGGGGGAGGCGGGCGCGGGGTCAACCAGTATAGGCACGGGACCTGATGTGACCTGACACTTCTCATACACGCTCACCAAACATGTTCACTCTTTTTTGTGCCTCTGTGTGTGTGTGTGTGTGTGTGTGTGTGTGTGTTAGGCTTCTCGTCTTGTACAAATAACTGTGTTTCTGTGTCTGTCACCCATAATCTTCTAAAAATATAAATAAAAAAATAAAATTCGTTATAATAATAATAATAATAATAATAATAATAATAATAATAATAAAAATAATAATAACAATAATAATAATAATAATAATAATAATAATAATAATAATGTATAAAGTACAGTTCTGCATATTTACGCATGTTTTGTAAGTATAGATATGTATTCCTATGTATACCTACTCATGTATACCCCCAACATCACCGCTACACTGGGCTGTATATTTAAAGTGTAGTGACTCACATAACAGTGTATAATTATGTCTACCCGTAACATAACCTAACCTACTATCAAGTTACGGTAGTCACAGTGTAGATTTACCGCCATTACACACTAGTTTTATGTATGTATTAAATTTGCCTTATGGTCTTGATATTTTTGTAGTAAATCGAAAAAAAAAGTTTTATAAGAGCCAAAAATTCCCCCAAAACTTAATATTATTCACGTATATTTTTTTTTCGTTTAGTTCAACAAAAAAATACAATAAATAAATAAATAAATAAATAAACATTCCCGCCAAATCATAATCACAACACAACTCTCTCCTGACGACAAAATAATAAAAATAAACATTAACCCAGCAACCTCTCTACGTCGAGGCGGATTACCCAAAACACGTCATAAAAACGTCTCCAGCATCTCCTTGTATGTGGCGGAGATCAAAAGACGGGTAGAGGAGGAGGCTGAGGGAGGCTACACACAACCCAATCTACTCATAATTCCCATAAAATAAGAGGGGTAAGGGAGGCGGCTTGTGTAGGGTGGGAGATATATATTCGCCTCTCTTTAGGACTTGACACATACCACCGCTAGTCTCGTAAGATCATAGAAACGTTTTTTTTTTCTCGTAATTCTGGATTTTTTGTCGTAATTTCGAGTTTTTATTCGTAACCCTGGGATTTTCACATTATATTGAGATTTTGTCGTAAGTGGGATTTTCACGTACTTTTTTATCGTAATTCAGGGGATTTATTCGTAACTCGGGGATTTTCACGTTATATTGGGATTTCGTCGTAACTCTGAGATTTTCACGTAAATTTCAGAAAAGAAGACATATCCTAAGAGGGTTTCTCAGAGTGTCGTAAGAATAGAGAATAAGGAATAAGGAGAGAAAATAATGAATAAGGAGAGAGAGAATAATGAGTAAGGAGAGAGAGAAAGGGCTAAGGAGAGAAAGGACAGAATAAGGAGTAAGGAGCGGGGCAGTATGAGGGGGTCACTGTCTCAGCTCACATTATGCGCCGCCAACAAAGCTCTTTAAAAGTCTGAGGGTCGACGGTACCTAATTATCCCTGGCCCCTTAATGATGTGTGTAGAGAGAGAGAGAGAGAGAGAGAGAGAGAGAGAGAGAGAATAGGTGAATATGCGCATATAAGTTAAAAAAAAAACCCTTAAACCCACAAGAAAATAAACCTCGGCTCGTTCATAATTAAAACCAGGTATATTAACCCTCACCCCCCTTCACCTTCCTCATAATGCTAATCTTCCTTAATAGTTCCGTATTAAACCAGGAGGACTCGTGTGAA